AAGATTATGGAAATAGGAATAATATTTAAGTGTGTGGTAGACTGGGAATAGTAAGAATACTATTGGTATGGTGTGGGAGATAGGAATAACAGTTTTGGTAAATGGTGGGAATATAGAAATTTGCTTTATATACTTTATAGGAGAATGTAGAGTTAAGAGTGCTAGTATGTGGTGTAAAATTCATGTCATTTTTCAGTTTTTGACTAAATTTCTGTGTAACTTGCCATATTGTAAATTGTACTGACTTGTTGGTTGATTCTGTTTCAGATATCTGTGGTCGGGGTTAATTATCCTTCTAGGAATCTACTTGAATTTTCATAGTAAACAGAAACACAACTGGAATTTTCATCAACATAAAATCTTCCTTCTCTTTGGACAAGTTCTTGGATTTAACAAAAAATATCATTTGATTGATCAGGAATTGAACTCTGTTTGAACTTCTAGGTTTTAGTTTTTAATGCAACAACTTTCAGCACATGTTGCACTGAAATTGATATTTTTTCTCTATGAAGTTCTACTAAAAGAGGAGTTTTTAATAATCTGGAACTAATATTGTTACACGTTGTTTTTTTTTTTTTCAGCTAGGCCTTTGGGTGGGGAGTAACACTTGGCATTAACAACCTAAACTAGGTCAGAACAGGTATCTTGCTAAAAAAGTAACTAAAATGGGTTTAATTGTTGTAAATTTTAATGTGTTTTATATTATCAATGGATAATATTACAGTACTTTAGAATAATTAGTGTTACGGATAAGATGCTCACATTGTTATCATGAGATGACTCTTTAACTCTGTTTCAGAGTTTGATTTCATTATAGCATTATATATTTATCTAGTCATTGTTATTTAGAAATAAATCGTAAGTTAATAGAAACCCTATTTTTATTTATGAAATTTTGTTTATATGTTTCTTCCTTAGAATGAAAATGGTCTGTTAGTGATTATCATTCTATTAAAAAATAGTTAAATATTCTGTGTCAACATTCTACCAGAAGTTATATCATTAAAAAGCACGGATTTATAGTAATTCGTTTTCTGCAAGTAGTTTATTATGTGTTACCAATCATGTACCCATTTTCTGTTAATAAGTGTGAAGAGGTAGTTACCATTGTTGTAGTAATATCTGCCAGTAATCATGACATTACCTGTTAAAAAAAGTATGAACTGGTAGCATCATTGTATTGACTGATAGTAATTAACAATCAAATTTCATACAAAAAATTATATGACACAGTTATTGTTTAAGAGGTTTTTTTTGATGTGTTATACATGGAACATTGCCATTCAGTGAATGCAGCATTAAAAAAATTCCATTCCTAGTTAAAGTCATTAAATTTTAATTTTTGCTGTTGCGCTTCAGAAGCAGATTACAAAATGTTATGAGACATTTGCTGTTGAAGAGTTGTAAAAGAACCTTTAATAACACAGCCACCATTAATAATTTAATGACTTTAACTAGGAATGGTATTGTTTTAATACTGCATGTGCTGACTAGCAATGTTCCTTGTGTAATACATAAAAAAAACGTAACATTTTGTAATCTGCTCCTGGAATTAATAATTTAATGACTTTAACTGGGAATGGAATTGTTTCAATATTGCATGTGCTGACTAGCAATGTTCCTTGTGTAATACATAAAAACAAGCTCTTCACCAGTAACTGTTTTATAACATCTTTTAATCTGCTCCTGGTTCTATAACATTATGATTTATCAAAGTTCAAAGTATATTTAAATAACTATCAAATAAAGCTGTAAAAAGTTTTGTTAACTAAGTATAATCTTAGTTATGTGAGGGTCAAAAGAGCACTTTGAGTCAGAGTTCAAGCTCATTTACAAATGACGAAATAGCTCTTGAGAAACTAGTATGATTAACTACATAACTATTAATCTGCTTCTAGTAAATGAGCTTTTAACAACAAATGATGTGTGACAGCCACCTGATGAAAAAGCAGTAAATTTTAGCATTGCATTTTTAAGATTTTTTAGTTAGATATACAGAAAAGCAACAACATGAATAGATCATGTTTCTGGAAGTGTATGATAATTATAATTAATATAAATAATTTCAAATTTTCATCACTCATATAAGTCTGTTAAATGTTTGAAAAACAGAAACAAAAGTTATTATTAATGAAAGATTTATATATGAAGTTTTACCTAATCTTAAAATATTGTCATGTAATGAGTCTTCTATACAATTTTCAGCTTGTTAGCATACCACACAAAAGCACTCACATCAGTATGAAGTATTGTCTTGTTCAAAATAATAAGCTTCATTTTTAGCATATTATTTCTCTTTAGTTGTTTTAATTAACATTGCATATATATATCTGTACTGTTGTATTGCTAAGGAAAAAAATAATTCAATGTATCTGTGGTGGTAAGTAATAAAGGAACTAAATAAGAAAGACTTGGGAAAATGTTTTATTGAGGTGACCTTTTATTTGGTGTTTATCAGATCGGAATGCAGATTTCTTTTGTATTAGATTAATTAACAGTGTATGTGCTTGTATAATCACATTGAAGTGATACTGACAATATAGACTTTCAATTTCATTGTTGGTATAAATCATCACAGTAAAAATTCTGTGCAGTTTGTTATAGTATACTGCAACTCTTAGCTGTTGTAGTAGGTTAAAGTAAAATCTGACAGTTGCTTTGTACATCAAACTCACTAGATAATTATAGATGGTTGTATGTATAGTTTACACAATTACAGTAAATAGTTAAATGTTATCTCTCTTTGACATTTTATTAAAATGAACTGACTGGAATTGTTAAGCTTTTAAGAGTCAAACCATTTTTCAATGTAAATGTCACAGCTTAGGATATTTGACATAAATTAGCATGAAAAATATATGACAAACAAGAGCAGAATATTAGATTATGATGTAATTTAGTGTCAGAAGAATAAGGTGAACAAGATGAAAATATTGAAACACACTGCAAACTGTTAGAGCTAATGTTAGTTAATGTCATAAAAATAATCAACTAATATTTCCAATTATCCAGCAATCCAAGTTATAATTAAATTGATTAATACCACAACAATAATCAACTAATCGAAATTAATGTTTCCCTTATGACTATTTCGATTATTCAAACTATCCAATAATCAAAATATTGTCATTATTATTTTTGATGAATTCAAGTTATTTAGCTTAACGATTAAGGTTTCTGATTATTAATATTTCTGATTATTTCAACTATTCAAGCAATCAACATATTGCCATTATGTTGTTAAACACAAAGTTACACAAAAGGCTGTTGTGATCTGTGTCATTGAAACCCAATTTTGTGTTAAAAGTTTTTTAGCCATCTTGACAGAATAATCAATTTGTTGAACGTAATTAATTAACTTGACTATGATGTAAATTAGAGTTAAAATAGTAAATTGACAAGATTATAATAGTTGAAGATGATTTCAAATAGTGTGAAAAGAGTAAAGTGAACATGATTAAGATATTGGGTGTATCACAACATGGCAGCAGCTGAAAGAAAGACAACTTTACTGAGGAACTAAAAGAGTCTATATAACTACTTAAGTAGTAGAATTATCATACATCTAACTAATGCAATCTCCATGACAATGAAGTTCAAGACTGTAACTGTAACAGTTGTCAGAGTGAAAGAAGCCTGCAATGGCTCTGATGTAAACACAGCACCTGTTGACTTCACATTTCAAAAATCAAAAACTTGCACCACACCCAGAGATACCGTATGGTGGCTTGGTACAGCCTAAAAGGCTAGCAGCAGTGGCATCAGTGACATACAAGTCAGGTTAATGATGCAGATGAAGAGCATCCAGACCCAAAAATAGACAGTATACATACTGTTACAATTGTGATCAAATTAGTTGTTGGTGATGGCAGTTGTTTTCCTGTGTTTCCACAGGAGTATGCAACTCCAAAATCTGAAGAGGGATAGGCTTTTGAATGCAGTCAGGCTGGATAGTTTAAACTAGTATGCCACTGATCTGGAAAAACAGTCATCTGTTTGTTTCTCCAGGTGAATTGGTTAATACGACGACCATAAGGCCATGGTATATACTTGTAAAATTGGATTACTTCATACATGAAGTAATTTTTAGTTGATACAGGAGCCACTGAAACTTTACTTAATCTCATGGGGTATCAGCCTCTGCCATGTAAACTACCATTCTGGCCATTAAACACTGATATTTTTCTTGCAAATTGTGGCTGGTTTATAGTGAATTTAGAACCTCGACTCTGGATCACTGTTGGTGTGACCACTAGACGTGCAGAAGTAGTAAAGGTCTTGGCACAGGTACTGGCGTTTTAGATTTAGATCTACTGCATATTTTATGTGCTAGTACAATAAACCCTCCTACAACGCGGGTTTGTACAACACGGATTCGCTTATACACGCAAAAATATAAGCAACTAATTATCTGCCAAACACGGAAAATTCGATTATGCACGGTTCGCCCAACATATAAGCGCTCTACCTCGTTACAACTCTATGAACACGGGCTCGTTCAATTTGACCGACCACGTCTCCATTTTGTACTTGTTTAAAGTCTATAGATTTAATACTTCTAACTTTCAACTTAGTGTGTATATCTTCACGAAATTTGACAGTATTTCAGTTAACATTATATGTCTTTCACTTACAAAAAATGATATTTTTAGCGAACTACTTTTAACAAACTAAAACAAAGATTTGTTCATGAATATGTTGAGCATTTGTTTTGAATAGTCCGTGCGGAAAGTAATTTTCATGTTAAGATTAAAAATACTTTTCTTCATCTCAAACTTCATTTGTATAATCCATAAAACCTCCTAAACACATATCAAATTTTTTTCCAGTAAAACTTTATATTTTATCTGTTATTTTCTCTACTCTATATGGGAATTTATTTTTGCCATTATTTGCTGCTTTTCATAATTACTCTTAGATAGCAGTATTGAATCGAAACGAAAAGCATCTCCAAGTGTTAGTGAGGCAAAGAAAAGCCGAAAAGTTATGGCATTAGCTGAGAAAATTCAGATCTTGATAAGTTACAAAGCGGGATTAGTGTAGCATCCATAGGCCGGGAATATGGCGTGAATGAATCTTCCATACGTACGGTTAGGAGGAGTGAAGATAAAATCCGTGCAAGTGTTAAGGTTTCTGCCCCTATAAGTGCTAAGGTTTCACAAGTGCCTAGGAAGAATCCGTTCATGGAAAAAAAAATGAAGGAATTATTGAATGTGTGGATCAGGGAATAAAAAAGGCGTTGTTGATAGCGAAGCTATACGTGAGAAAGCGTATAGTTTGTATGAATACGTAGTCTCTAATGAGCGTGGAAGTGCTGTGGATGTCAGTGAGTTTCAGGCAGGTAAAGGCTGGTTTGCCTAATTTAAGCGACGCTTTAACCTGCATAACGTGAAGCTGGGTCATCTGATAGCGATCCAGCTGCACAGTTCAAGCTGTGGTTCCTTGAATTCGTTAAGGAAAAAGGATATGCTCCTCAACAGGTGTTTAATGCAGATGAGACAGGGCTCTTTTATGAGAAGATAGGCAACAGGATATAAATCACTAAGGAGTAGAAGGTAGCATTCGGGTTTAAGGCCTTTAAGGATAGTCTCACTTCGCTTTTTTTATGGGAACGCATCGGGAGACTTTAAATGCAAGCCTATGTTAGTACAGTGCTCCGCGAACCCACGCGCATTAAAAGGCAAGAAAACGCGACATTTACCTGTTGTTTAGTGTTCAAATAAAAAGGCTTGGGTAACTATGATGCTATTCAACGACTGGTTGCAAAATCATTTTATGCATGAGGTTAAAGAATACCTGGCGAAGAAGAACCTTGACTTTAAGGTTCTTCTAGTTTTGGATAATGCTCCTATCCATGACCCTGACACGCTGCAATTCTGCCATCCTAATGTGGAAATAATATTTTTATCTCCCAATACCACATCCATCCTGTAACCAATGGACCAAGGAGTAATAATGACATTCAAGTCTCACTATACAAGGAATGTCTACCGATGTGCAACCCAAGTTACAGACTCTGGTGTTTTCGAAAACTTAACCAAGTTTTGGAAAGCTTATAACATTAAGGACTGTATCAATATCACAAAATGTCATGGGACGAGGTGAAAGAGTCTAACCATAAATGCATGCTGGCATCATCTTTGGCCTGAAGTCGTGAACGATTTCAAAGGCTTTTGATGGTTCAGAAGGAAGTTGCCGAAATCATGAGACTCGCTAAAGAAGTCGGGGGTAAGGGGTTATATAATATGAAGTATGAAGAGGTGGTTGAGCTGCTAGCATCCTATTACCAAGAGCCAATGAATGAAGAACTTGAAGCGCTGATAGCCTCCAGTGACAGTGATAGTAAGGAAGATGCTGATGAGACAGAACCTGCTAAACCCATCCTCACAGCGAAGTCTGTGTCCAATTTCCTATGCAAAGCAGATGAGCTTGCAGAAATTGCTGTAGATACGGATCCCATAATGGAGGGAAGCATGAAATTTAAAAGAGGGTTTAATGATGTTCTAGCACCATACAGAGAAAGATTTGCGGAGGAAAGCCAAACAGCCGAAAATTACTGACTTTATGAAGCCCATGTAATTCCTTCTAACCCCATCCCATCGACTTCTACATCTGCTTCATTGGAGTTTGAGACCGAATTTTCTGATGATCCATCAGTCTTAAACTAACCTCAGATCCCATAAATCTATTATCATCATCATTGCAAACTTTTCTCTCATCAACGAAAGGTCTTTGTCTTCATCATTCACAGGTGAATGTTACAATAAAATGCAGTACTGTGTTATCTCATTTATAGGTGCAGGGTATCACATGTGAATGTTATTATGCTTATGACTTTATATTTTTAGTTCGTATACAATTCTGTATAGGTAGGGCTTTTCATTTATGTATAGAAAAGTCAATATATAAGCAGTTATCAGATACTTACGCGACTGTGTTCCTGTATCCCTATTAATCCTATAAGGATTGAATTCCTCCATTACGGCTTGCTAGAGGAAAGCACCCCCCCCCCCCCGTGTTGGAGGAGTGCCCACTGTATATCCTATGCACCTTTCTGATGAAACTATAAAGTGCCATAAAATATTCCCAAAAGCAGTGGATTGCAATAGCAATTTCATCTTTTACTCAAGTGGTGTTTCCTGATAAATTA